ACACATCATTGTAAAATCAATACATTCATCACTTCGTTCAGATCTAAAAAAAAGGTGATGAGTGACGACAGACACGATAATTAAAAATTAAACGCACGTCGCATCATTCTCAATCAACACATTCATCGCTCCCCAAAGAATCTTAAATGTCCAATGGGGGATGAGTATATTTGATGAACTACCTCGTGTATACTAGTATACCATTGATGTTAAATACCTACTATTAATAATCGAGTATACAAACTTAATCTTTCCCAAGCATCACTAAAATAATTTATTGCAATTTCCACACACTATATATTCAATTTAACGAAGAAAAATCCGCGTAAAGACTACCGGAATACGTMAAAAAAACCATATGAAATCTATTCGTTTACTTACCATAGTAAATATACATTATTAAACCATCACATTTTTATGTTTTAGTGGAGAAGATGGTCCGCCGCTGGGCTCCTCTAATATGGTTGGCACCGGACGAACAATTCCTGCCTGGTTCCGTAACCGATTTCTTGAATCACGTTACGCCTAAGCCACGTAGCCTACCCAATGACGAACAGCAACACTCTAAAGTGCCCATGGGCCCGGATTCGCAGTCGTGGTTTTTAGTCACTAAATCCGAAGTCGGTGAGTAACACTATAGTACTATAATACTTATGTCTTATAGCGTATACATTAGCGACTTTATGTGCTTATGGCATATTATATTTATATAATATATTATATTCATGTATTTATACAGGATGATGGTTCTTTGAACGGCTAACACTCATTAATTTGTATTTATATAACTGCAAAGTTACAATGCACTCAACTTATTTATTAAAATAATGATTTTGTTTTTTTACAAAAGTACGAGTATTACACTTCAAACTATTTAAAATAAAAATAATGTTTTACGGGCAATCGTTTTATATTCAATAAATCAATAATATATTCTATAGTGACTACTGTTTCGAAAAAACGAAAAAATCTTTCGCCTTTCACCGTTTCCCCAAGATGATGGTG